TATATATATATATATATATATATATATATATATATATTTCCTCCTCATATGAATCAAGAGACGGTAAAAAATATGGTGTCACACCCTTTTTCGGCGAATTTTCCGTATATTTGAAATTCTTAAACAGTTTATATTTGAAAACAACAAAATTGAAAATATAGCTTTTTACCTTGGTTAAAGTATATTCTTAAAATCTTTAGAACAACCGTGTACAATGTTTTTGAAAAGACGAGCTTATTTTGCGTAATTTGTGTCTGAAATTAATGCAATTTTTAAAACATTTATTATCTCAAAAACCTCTCTAATTTTTTAATTTTTTATGTAACTGCTGTATAAATTAATTAGTGGTAGTATTAGTAACGCATAACACGTAAGTCTTTCTTGTAGTTATGAATATATTATTATTGTTGTTGTTGTTGTTGCTGTTACAAGAAAGAGAACAAACGAACGTGATTTAATTTTATTGAAGTTGTTTTAGATTATATTTATTAATAATTCTGCAATTCAATGTGAGAACGTGGTGGCAGAATACACTAACTTAACCTTAAAGAACTTAACAACTTTACAAAATCTACAAACTTTACAAATTCACCGTGAGATTTACGGCAATATTTCCATAGATCATTCACATTTACTTCTAAGGACAGCAGCCTGCACAAACAGCCGAGCATAGATTTTCCCTTACCACTCGTTTGTCATTTTACAACGTCACTGGGCAACTGCAAATAATAATAATAATAATAATAATAATAATAATAATAATAATAATAATAATTACATAGAAGACATAGTTAATTACAATGAATTTTATTAAATAATTATAACATACATATCAACATTCAAGAAAATAATTAATTTTTATATTTGCTCAGGCTTTGAGGAAAGGGGTCGAAGATTGTCAGAGGCAAACCGTTCCAGTCTCTAATAGTGCGATTCGCGAATGAATATTTCCCATCGTCCGTTTTCTGCCTGAATTTTGTGTGTGTGATCCGCTCTGCCGAAATATGTAGGTTTCCCTAATCGACATTGAATTTCTTTCCACGCTCGATGGCCTGTGTACGCTTTACACATCGCATAGAAACGTGACTTTAATCTGCTCCTCTCGAGTGACTCTCATACCCCTTTATTCTTGGTACCCCTGAAAGTAAATTTTGATGCTCTACGCTGGACCTTTTCTAGATTCCTTTGTTGCAAAATTATGTATGGGTCCCAACACACCGCGCGATATTCTAATATAGGTCGCACTAATAACATATATGCAAGTTCTTTCGCTCTCACTCTACTCTTTTTCAGTATCCGCATTACAAAATGAAAAGATTTCCAGGCTTTCCCTACAACTAAATTGACTTGATTTTCCCAGCTCAGATTATTGATGTAAGTAAATAGTTTAAGTTGTCAGAACTTATGGACCTACTGACACGTTTACCTAAACAATCAAAAGCGAGTTTAAACATTAGTATCAAATCACTTTTTATACAAAATGACCTTAATAATTCAAAGATACTACATAAGTAATTTGGGGCATTTCGAAATAAGAAGGAACATTTTATAATATTATCAAATTTAGTACCGCTGTTACTTCATGCTGGTGAGAAATACTTTATGAAGCAAATTTGCAATTTTTGAAGTTTGAATTTTATGACTTTCAAAATTGTACATAACTATTTTTGCGCTAAGATCAACCGTTAAAAAGTTTTTATGCAAAAACCGAAAAATGACCAAAATATTTGGTAAGTTTTTTTGGCAAGAATAACTTATCCCGAAGTATTTGGAATACATAGGGTTTTCTTACTAATAACAATATAAACAAAAAATTATAAAACCTTTTGAAAAATGGCATATGGACTGCACTATAGCCTAATGTACAATTAAAGTACGATTTTCCAAGTTCTTATCAAATGATTTGTAAGTCCTCTTACTTGATTCGAGTGGTAAATCACTGTTTATTTGCCTCGCAACTACACAGACTGGAGGATAAATTCTCAGTGATTCCTTGATCACCATTTCAAGGTATTTGAGTTCCGACAGCTCTTGAATGGATGGTTCCAAAGGCTTTGAAGAATCGAAAATAGTTTCCAACTCTTCCAGAATTTGCTCCTGAAAAACGAAAACTAAAATAAGTCATAAAAATTTGTGTAGATACGTGGAATTCTGGAACTTTTCCCTCTTTGAGTGGTAATACTCAACAACTATGAAGCATTGCGTATCATCATTTCAGATCTACAGTTCGAGTTTAAATTGTATTGAAAAATAATTATATATTTCGTTATCCTTTCTTTTTTCTAGATTTGCCAGGTCTGCTTCGAAGAAATAGAGGAGAAGTGGACGGGCGCGGGGGGGGGGGCAGTAGATAAAAAAAATTAAATTATATATTTTCTTACAAATATTTTAGCACGTATTAAAATAATTAATTGAAAACCTTACTTTAAATTCAAAACTTCAAACATATTATGGTAATAAGTAAAATATTACATTACATTATACTTTTAGAAATCGATACAAATCACATTAAGCTTTTGGATTTATAATGCTTCAACGAAATCTTTGTTTTCACAAATTTGCGCACTACATATTGATACTAGTATTCATTGAACTTCAAATGATAGGTTTTCGGGTGTTCCAAAGCATTCCTATCCAAGTAAGAAAAAAGTACAATAATAATAATAATAATAATAATAATAGGTAAATGAGAGCTAAGAAAAATAGTAAGTAAATAATTTTATATACTTTTCTGAAATGTCTTATGTAACAAACAACAGACAAAACGCGATCTCCTATCCTTATTCTCTTAGACTTGACAGCTTTAGATTGCTTATAAAGCTTTTGAATAAAAAATATCCAACGGCTAGAGTCGTGAGTAAATTCTGTCGAGCTACTTCATTGAAAGTTGACAGTCTTGGAATGTAGAAAACGGTGGATGTGGGTACGCGAAAATTACGCCGCATGGCGACGAGACGTACAACGTTGCTGGGAAGTTGATCTGGTGAAGGGACGGAAATAAAAGATGCTGATGGCGAAGGCCGCTCTGGAAACCAACCCCGCGTCGCTGTACTGAAAGATATGGAAGAAGACATCAATTGTCGCGGAAGGTTGATAAGTTCGGAGAAAAAAGTGTTGTAACTGTTGTAAAATAACAAAAATTTGAAAAGTATAGTTTTTTAGAAAGATGAAGCTTGATGGAAAAGGACTAGCTGAAAACGTATCGGTTTATTTATAGGTAATATAATATAATATCTCATAAGACGTAAAGACAGAAATATGAATTAGTTTATAAAAAGTGATTTTATAAGTTGAAGATGCAAAATTGTAGTAGGTTAAGATAATTTATAAGAAAACGGACGTCTTCAACATCACGCCGAAGAGGATATTGAAAACAAAGTGATTTCGGTGAGTGTAGTGTAAATACATGAATATGTTAATATGTTTAGTGAGTGTATACGAGCTACAAAGATGGTGCGCAACGAACTGTTGTCGCGGTAGTACAATGACATGGCAGGACACAAGTGCGCAGTAAACAGCTGATAGTTTCCTATGAAAATAAGGAACCGGACAGCGACATACTACGCGAAAATGTTGGTGATGTAGTAAAGGATGTCACAATATCGTCGACTTTCATTACCGATATAGTGTCATTTGAGGTGGGGTGTTTTGACGCGTAGGGTGTTAACAAGGTTAATTAAATAGAAATAATACATTTACGTAATTATAAATATGCAGGACGGCAACAATGGGGATATAGAAAAGAAACCGAGGTGAGCTTTATTTTGGAAAAAATAAAAGCATAGGACAATAGAATTCATAGTGGGGAAAATACATAAAATGGTACCAATAATGCAGTGAAACAACACGTAAGTAAATTCCATGGGGCAGAAAATAAATCAAGAAATATTATGAGCAGGAAACCAAAGAATAAACAGATATGTTGAAATGTGTGTGAACAATCAGGAATTAGATCGTGTGAGAACAATCGGAGGATCGGCGTGCGAGAAACGAAGAGGAGACGTGTTTGAGTATAATTTCGCGCAGACAGATGAAGGGCGCGCGTGATGAAAAAATGGGGCAGACGATGTTTGGTCTCGTAGTGGGTCAGATGTAGGAGAGGCAGCTATTTGGTAGCGGGAAGAATTAAACTGAATTGTTAATTTAAAGGTATTGTTTTAAGGTAGAAAGTCTACAACTAGAGCGGAAATATAATTACGTGTGTGGAGAACGCAAACACTATTGGAGTGGACCGAATTCTTTTGGTAATGGAGGCTAAATGGAAGCTTGTCGACGTTGAAGATTCCGGTAGATCTGCGCAAGGAAAGTAGCAAAACGAGGAACATTTGCTTTTATTTTTATTTGCCATTGTAGGAAGACTAAGTGTTATATTAAAGTAAAATTTCTAAATTAATAATTATGAGGGAATTTAGCCATGCATTCAAAAAGGTAGGGATTTGTAGCGAGTAATATATAATGAGAATAGACGAATTTGTGGTAGGAACTACCCCTGAAATTATTTAATGATGTAATGCATAATAGATTGCGTTTAGAAATAAAAGATATCTTCATTTCAAAAATTGCCACGATTTCATTCCAAACTACGCCGAACCAACTCATATTTTGAAAAACGTATTTGAAGGTCTATTTTTGAAAAATAGATTTGATTCAAAATATGTTGAATAATAGTATTACGCGAGAGTGTACATGTTTAACTGAAACAATTTTCAAACTTTAAGAGATTTTAATGAACATCCCGCACGGAGAAAAAAGTTCAAACATATTGACGTTTTTGAGATTTTTTTTATAATTTCAGGATCATCTAGTAAGAACCTCTAAAATTCTAGCAATTCCTATCGCAAAATGTCTATTGAATAGTTCAGTTATACCCAGCGAGGAATATGTACTTTAGAGTATAACTTGTAAACGATTTTGTGTTCCTTGCCTTTTTGTGTTGCCTTAATAGCAAAGGACGGACGCTTGTTCTTTTAAAAAAAATGATTTCTTCATGAATTTTCTCTCATTTCTGTGATCTACCTTTGCAATAAGTTCCAGTTCCCTATTTTTCTTCTCATCAATAATGTAAAAATGTATTCTATTTATACCAGTTTTACTAGTTTTGACAAAACTATTACAAACGGATGTGGAGATATTGATGTGTTTGGTTGTCAGTCTGGCCAGCACAAGGTCATGTTGCATTTTATTCTCGCTAACGACGGCAACAAAAAAGCTTTCGTCCCTTAAAAATTATATTTTGTGGGTTCAATATGAATGTGGCCCTACACTTCACCTGCACAGCGGGATGTCGCGACAAGAGGAAGGCAGTGAAGGAGATGGCGGCGGCCGTGGTGTCGTGGCCTTCGAACATGAAGGTGTCCACCTCCTCGCGGATGTCGGCGTCGGACAGGCTGCCATCTCTCGCGATGAGAAGCAGCAGGTCCAGGAAGGCCACGCGGCGCCGCCGACCTGCAGCACAACGCGGCGCTGTGGTTTATAATAGAGCACTTGCAACACAACGCGGCGCTCGTGGGGCACTGCCACTGCGGTTCACAATACAACACTTGTAGCACAACACGGCGCTCGTGGGGCACTTCCACTGCAGTTTACAATAGAGGACTTGGAACACAACACGGCGCTCGTCGGGCACTGCCACTGCGGTTCACAATACAGCACTTGTAGCACAACACGGCGCTGATGAGGCGATGTCACTGTGGTTTATAATAGAAGGCTTAGAGTACAACAGAGTGCCTATCGGCCTTAGTCACTGCAATTTATTTAAAGGGAATTTAAAACACAACAAGACGTTGTTCTGGCATAGGCACTGTAGTTTGTTATACAGCACTTGTAGCACAACATGGCGCTGATGAGGCGGTAAGGTCGTTGTGGTTTATAATAAAGGGATTAGAGCACAACGTAGAGCATATCGAGCTAAGCCACTGCAATTTATTGTAGGGAATTTGAAACACAAGGCACTGATCGGTTACAGTTACTGTAATTTATAATAGAAAACTTGTACCACAACATGGCGCTGAACGGATACAGTGACAGGAATTTGTTGCAGAGAGATTGCAGCACAACAGGGTGCTGATGTGTCAAAGTGACTAATTTATTATAGAGAACGTGTAAATATGTGTTGAAGACTGGTAGCACATCATGACGGAAAGTCGCTATAATTTATTACAAAGTGTTACACAAAAATTGTTATAATGTGGAAATTTTCTTGAGATTTCATAAAAAAATGACGTCATTTAAAGTGCAATCCTTTTGGCTTTTATTAAGCCTTCTTAACAGCTATATTATACTCTTTACTATGAAAAAAATTGAATACTCATGCTAGCCTATATCACAAAAGCAATAGTTATGTGATTATAGTAATTGTGATATAGACAAGTATTGGATGAGTATTTAATTTATTGTAAATAGTAAAGAAATAAAATCCTTATGTTATAGCCCCGATGATGGCTTAAAAAAAAGCATGAAAGTTGGCACTCAGAATGACGTATTTGTATTGACGGAAATTCAAAAAAAGATCCATACTATTAGTCAACGCGGTCAAGAAATCAAGTACGTGACCATTTATTATACGCAGGAAGCTTGCAGAACAATTGCGTGATGTTATGGTAATTTAATCTTTAGTATTAATCACTTGCAGCACAGCATGTTATACGTGGGGAAAATTCACTATAATCGAATAGAAAGGCCATACATACTATTTAAAACTTGAGAACTCTTACCTAACTCGTCTACGTCCAGAGTCTTGCCTTCACTTAATTTGTCCAGCTCCGCCTTCCTTTCTTGGATTACCTGAAATTTTCAATTCAACAATTTTAAAATAGAAAAAGTAGCGGCATCTTGTGCTGCTATATATACTGATCAAAATTTGCTTGACATTTAAAAATTATGATTGGTTTCCATTTACATGTATTTAAATTTTTGTTGTATATTTTTTTAAACACGATGAAATTGCAAATTATTGGGTGGTTAGAAATGTTTGTAAATTAATTCTTATTAGTATTAATGCTTGCAGTAAAGAATCATAGAGAACCTTTGACTTTTGATGCTTATAATATTTTTATCGAAGACTATTTTTAAAATTCTCATCACCGAAGTATTTGAGGCTGACGCTCACCATATTCCCGTTTCGATATTTGCCCAATATATGGGAATCGATACCCTACTTTATGTTTTTCCGGCAATATTTTAGTATTTGTTTCGTACACCTTACTCACTAAACCTCTTAGTTGCTAAATGCCTTTCGAAAATTCAAATAGAGTTCTCTTACCTTGTCAGTAGTGCCATGTAATACGTCGAGACACTGCTGATGCCGACGCCCTAATTTTGAGAAGCGAAAAATAAATGAAGAAAGTTCCCATGGTCGTAATGCGCGTTCTATAATTATCGTGCTAATGCTGTAACAGGAGATTAGAAAATAGTTTTCTGTAAAAACATGAATAATTAGATATTTACCAAATTATAAATATTAGAGAATTGGAAATATTGGTATTGTGGTGAAGCACATTTCAATATCTCCTTGTAGGGTACTGACCTCACAATGACAAGCGGACGCTTTAAGCAAAAAATGAACAATACCTTACAAAAAAGTGTTAGAAAAACGTTAAAATATAGCAGTTCCATGTGTAAATATTATGATAAATTGTAAACTATGGCTGGCAAAAATAGAAAGTAATATTCAGAACTAATTATAATAATTTTTGAAGAATAAATTTATAATTATTAATAAAAAGTTATATGAATAAGTTACGCAAAAGCTATTATTTTGTGGGGAAAGCAAATAGTAAGATTATTTTGTGGTTATGTGTAAGGGAATAGGCCAATTGAACAGGAGTGCCCAGAAGGGACATTGGGGTTACTGCCCCTGGGTTAGTAACCTCAGACTCCGACTAAGTTGATTCGATTTTTTTGTTCTCTCAAAGCAAATAGTTATTTCTATGAGTTCAAATTAATCACTTTAATTATTTCAGGTGCGTGCAGAAATGAATTCTCTTTATGCACTGGGGTGGCAATACTTTGTTTAAAAATAAAAGGCCCTCATGGATCTACAGTCCCCCGACTCTTGTGTTATCTGGGCGCCCCAAGCCCTAACTAGAAATAATAGTCGGGGATATGATCACAAGAACGTAAATTGAAAGCATGAAGGGAAAACGTGAAGTTAGACAATGTTATTCCGATTAGTTGAATTGAATTAGTTATCCAACATGTTATTCTGTAGTATGTGGGTATTATGTATATTTCATTGCACACCTGAGCTTCAAGACTCAGTGTTTGTTCATTTCGGTACTTACTCATTAACTGCTTTTACATAGGGGGAATTGCTGTTGGTTTGCGCGTTGACTCGAACACCCATGATTGTTTCTGAAAAATGAAAATTCTTCTTTAGTAAGTGTCTAAGAAATGGCGAGTGCAAGGAGTTTGCAAAAGAAGGTATATATAGGTTATTTACACTAAGATGACAGAAGTCCTGAGTTACCTCCTAACATCGTTTCTGACTTTCTTTTGCAAGGCGAAGTGCAGCAACTTGACTCTGCAATCTTGAAAATTATCTAAATTTAGCTATGCTGCCTCTAGTGTTGCCGGTGCAGGAACGAACTGACCCCTCTATAATGCCCGGTAAATGTGGGATGTGAATTATGTCGGGTGATCTAGGAGACCAAATCATTCGCTCGAATTGTGCAGAATGTTCTTCAAACAACTCGCGAACAATTGTCACCCAGTGACATTTCGCATTGTCATCCATAAATGTTTCATCATTGGTTGGGAACATGAAGGCTGGAAATGGACTCCAAGCAGTATGAACATAAGCACTTTCAGTCAATGATCGGTTCAGTTGGACCAGAAGTCCTACTCCATTCCTTGTTAAAACAGTCCAACCTACACCCTTCTTGAGCCACCACAAGCTTGCACATTGTCTTACTGACAACTTGGCTTCATGACTTCAAGGGGTCTGCGCTTCATTAGATCTCTACTATGAGCTATAACCAACTGCAATCGGGACTTATCTCCCCGAGCTACGGTTTTCCAGTCTTGGGCTGAATCGATTTGGCCACGAGCCCAGAAGAGGCCCTACTCTTAGAAAATGCCAACTTTAGCCATTCTGTCCTAACGAATACGTTCGTCTCCCATTGATTTCTGCGGTCATTTCAGTATTGCTTGTTGTTAGCACTGACAACTACGGAAACGCCGCTACTCTCTGTCATTAAGTGAAGGCCGTCGGCCACTGCGTTGTCCGTAATGAGAGGTTCTGCCTAAAAAAGGTAATCTCGGCACACTCTTGTCACTGTAGATTTTGGAACATTGAATCCCTCAACCATTTCCGAAATGAATGCCTCATGCGTCTAGCTTCAACCACCATAATGCGTTCTAAGTATTTCAATCCCCGTCGTGCGGACATAACCACATCAGAAACCTTTTCACATAAAGTAAGTGAGTACAAAATCTAGTTATATCAATGCGCTGCCCTTTTATACCTTTGGTGCGCGATTCTATTAACATATGTATATTTGCATATTGTAATCCCATGACTTTTGTCACCTCGTATTGAAGAGGACATCAATGTGGTTGGAGGTTGAAGAGGGGCAACATATCCGTTGTTGACTGATACCTTAATACACGTAGTAAGAGCATGTTTCTGCTGGTAATGGACATACCACAGACGACGTCCAGGGTGAGCAGTTTGGAGAGGGGTCTGATATCCGTTATTGACACATACACCTAGTGAAGAGCAAGTGTCTGCTGGTGGTATACGTACCGCAGATGACGTCGAGGGTGAGCAGCTTGGAGAGGGGCCAGATGTCGAAGGCGCGTCCGTCCGCTCGCTTGCGCAGCTGTCGAATAAACTCCTCCCCATTGCTGTTAAACACGGGCACGAACTGGTCCAGGATCTTGAAGTGGAACGCCGGCGTCAGCATTTTGCGACGAGAGTGCCATTTTTCACCTGAATTACACGAATGTATTTTAGAGCGCTTAATTCAACAAGGATTAGTTGTGATCAAAATATATCGGTAATTATGAGCGCTTGAGCAGGGAAGAGCGCATTTTTTTTCAATATGTTATAAGTTCATCATCAATCTAGTATGGAACATTGAAGTACGTTAGATTACTTTGAGCAACTGAACAAGTAGCCCATAGGTGGGGAAAGTGAATATTCTCGCTGTAAGACACTGGCAGTAAGCTAATTGTTTACCTTTTTTCTCAAGGTAATACTCCTAGGTGCCCAGATCATTACACACTTAGCACTGACGCTCAAACTACAAGGACACGCACGTTTTCACGATTTGTCGTTGGGGAAGTTGCTGTTTAGGTTTTTGCAACACGTCCGTCTCAATGGCGTCAGCTCAATGAACTGTTTTTGCGACGCGTTTAATCAATTGGCCGATGTCTAAAATGTTATTATTGTCAACAAAAGTAAATAATTTAATTAAAATATACCTTTATGTTAATATAAATTCCCTGCGACAGCCGCGGAACCGTTTCCTCTAGGTGTAAAGTTTTAAAAGTAGATTAACTGAGGACATTTGTTTCAATTAGATTTATTAAATTAGTTATTATTTAATAATACTTTTATTATAATTGTTCTTTTTTATTATTAGTAGTATTGTGATAATCACTATGAAATGCATTAGTTTATTGAATAAATGCAATTATATTCAAAGTAGTAGTTGAATTGGAGTGTCGTGGCGTGTTTTGAAGTGTAGTGCAATAGAGAAGTAGAGAGAGAAGTGAAGTGTAGTGTAGCGAAGTGTAGTGTGATATATATATATATATATATATATATATATATATATATATATATATATATATATATAAAATGTCTGAATTTTTGCAATTGAAAATTTGTTATCTAAGGTTTTATATCAATTGAGACTGACAATTGACGACTGAGACGGGGAAAATATGTCCTTGAAATTGACTATAAAATTTTTATCAGATATTTTTATTTTACACAATTCTTTCAATTTGTAGTTAATAAAAATTAAACACAGTTTACAAAGTACTTGCCTGAAGACACTAAGAGTCCGTCTCCCAACCAAGGTTTCAATAAAAAGTAAAGTATTCCTTTGTTGTAGTCGTTTGAAGAGAATACTTTCTGAAATGGAACATAGTGTTTCAGTAATGATAAAATATATAAGCGCTGCCATAATTGAAGAAATATTTGCAACTATGTACAATAATATACTATAATTATATCTTGAGGCTTGCTGCGTATTTACAAAACATACTTGACATTTTGTACGATGAATTTAAACTTTATGAGCATACTTAATGAGCAAATTTCTGACTGGAAACAAATAGATTATCACGAACGTATAATACATTCTTACAAAATTTCTCGGTTTAGGTCCGAATCGAGTCACATTATTTTTTTTATTATTGTAATTTTATTTTTGGTAGACATTACTTTGTTCAGTTTAAATATTAACTGTGTAAATGTTTGATAATCTTAATCTACCTTATACTAATTTAAAATTATACATTACAATTATATAAAAAGCAGGTAGCATCTCAGATTAGTATTATTCCAAATTTGCGAACATTTTATAAAATGAATGGAGGGGATTTGTGTTGTTAATTCTCATTTGATAATTGGGGATTTTGCCTTGTTTATAGAAGGATGATGCTTGAATTAGTGGAAGGTTATTGTAAAAATTGTGTGCGAGGTAGGCTATTTGGTTTTTTATTGTGTTTATATTTAAATAATTCTGTAATTGATTGTTACTGATGAACCATGGTGCTTTTGTAATTATTCTTAAAAAATCATTTGGATAACTAACACGCATAAAGTAATGTCGGCCGGATTACTGATTTGTAGAGTAATAGAACATTGGAGTTGGAAAGTTGATTGTGTTGTTTCAGTAAGGATCGTAGTTGAATTAGATTTGGCTTGATGAGTTTTAACTCAATTTGTTGCTTCCAGTTCAGTCGGGTATCGAAGTTTAAGCCCAAGTATTTTATTGTTTTATTAGTTGATGTCCAATTGATGATGTCGTTATTTATGAAGAATAGAAGAGGGTGTGTGAATGGATTAAATGTGAATAATTTTGCTACAGCTTTTGTTAGGTTCAACTTTATTTTCCAAACATTAGCCCAATTTGCTAGTAAATTTTGGTGGTTCTGAAGCTGTGTTTGAAGAGTTGTAAAAGACTTCCCTGAGATATACAGTGTCATCTGCAAATTAGAGGGGTGTGTATATGTTCTGAAGTAGGAATATCTGCTGTATATAAATTGAACAACATGGAGGAAAGTTGTGAATCTTCGGGAACCCCAGCAAAAATTTTCCTTGGATTGGAGCAGTGGCCTTCGACTGAAAATGTTCTATTTGTTACATAGCTAAGAATAACAAATACTATATATTTGGGTGTACCTATTGAAATTAATTTAAGATATAGAGCTGGATGCCATATTCTGTTGAATGCTTACAAAATCTCTACGAATGAAGATATGGTATGTTGTCCCTTTTGCAATGAAGCAGATATGGTATGTTGTCCCTTTTGCAATGCAGTGTGAATGTGTTCCGTAAACCTTAGTACTTGGTGGGTGGTAGAGTATTGTGACTTGAAGCCAAAGTGGTGCTGTGGTATACTGTTTGTTTTCTTGGGTGTCATTGACCCGGACGTAGAAGTACATTATTTGTTACAAACATATTAAGTCTTTTTAAAAATCATTATACAATACAAATATAAACTAATTCAATACATATCATTGTTTTGTTAAAATAAACATTATTTTTCTTTTTGATATTCAGTATAATATTTAATTGTATAGAAACAGTTATGCAGCAGAAAATATTTTACTTGATGAACGTGATTTCTACAACGTGTGTTGTAATTATAAATATCAGTATTGCATTAAAATATGTTCCCACAGTTAAGTATGTCAGTTTTGACAAATATTACGGATTTGTGAATAAATAGGCAAGGCAGTGGTAAGATTCCCAGCTTAATGAAGAGAGGCTTGCAGGGATCACGCGGATGGCAATTTTTCATTATTCGAATAACTTTAATTTGCAATCTAAAGGTCTGAGTACGACATGATGAGTTTCACCAGAATATTCTGCCATATCTCAGGCAGGAATGCACATTTCCAAAATACGCGCAATGAGCTGAATGAAGGCTGACAGAATTTAAAAGAATTCTGAATGTGTAACATGATGAACTTAATTTAGTGTTTAATTTTGTTATATGACCATTCCATTTGAGGTTTTACAGAATTGAGAGACCTAGAAATTTTGTTACCTGAACATCAGCTAATTGCATATTGTTCATTTTCAGAGGAGCATGCGATTGCTGATTTGAAATGCAAAAATGCATTGAAACTGTTTTTCCTTCGTTAACTATTAATTTATTATTACAAAACCAATTTGAAACTTAAGTAAAGTCGTACTATTTATTGCTTTTTTTCAAAAATATTCGCGTCATCGGCAAACAGAACAGTTCTTCCGTTTTTAATAGACGGTGGCATATCGTTTACTTATAACGGAAAGAGGATAAGACCTAAGACTGAGCCTTGTAGGATCCCATATTCAATTGGTAAAGAATTGGAAAGATAAGTAAATAATGACCAGTTCGGTATTTTTACTTTTTGAGAACGATGTTTAAGGTACGAGATTATCCAATCCAGGGCGATACCACGAATTTCAGTAATATTGTAGAAGGTAATATTGATAGCCAGATGTTATGGTCAATAACGTCAAAAGCTGCCGAAAGATCTAAAAATATTACAATGGGTACTTCATTTTGGTTTATTGGTAAAGCAATATCTTTAAGAAAAGAAAAAAATGGCAGTTTTAGTAGATTTTGATTCTTGAAACCCGTTATGAGAGTCTGAAAATACTTAGTTTTTCCTGAGAAAAGTTTCTATTCGCGTATAGAAAAGCCTCTCTAATGTTTTTGAGAAACCTGACAAAAGAGAAATTGGTTGGTATTTTATAATTTCATTTTTGTTCCCATTCTTAAAAAGTGGCTTAATTTTTGCTGTTTGAAAATATCTGGAAACATTCCTATGCATAAAGAAGCATTAAAAATGTGAGTTAACGGGTGTATCAAGGCAGGTACACAAGTTTTAAATAAACAATCCGGAAATTCATCTAAAACAGATAAATATTTATTTTTTAGTTTACTTACTATTCTCAGAATTTCGTTAGATTATTCTTTATTATATATTATTTAACATATTTAATTTTTTAAAGAAGGAATTCCAAAGTCTTGTTTTATTTTTTATTAGGATTATGTTAATTATATTAGCTGGGAATTTGCTGGGCTATTTAGTTAACGAATAAGATTTTGTTCAATATGACTGTTGTTAATATTAGTACTAATAATTTTGTTGTTGAGGGTCATGATGGCTTGGTTAGTTTCTTGGGGAGAGTTCACGTTGTGAAATGAAGGTATGAATTTATTTATAGAACCTTGAAAGTGCTTCCAATTAATGTTATATGTATTTAAGTTGAGTGGGGGAGCTGGAAAGGATTTTCTACGCGAGTTGATATTATTACTATCAGCCTGCTACCTATAAAGAATCGAAGAGAAATCAATCGGAACTCATCGAATTGAACAAACATCACGAAAACAAACAGTATACCACAGCACCAGTTTGGCTTCAAGGAACAACACGCTACCACGCACCAACTACTAAGGCTTACGGAACACATTCACACTGCATTCCAAAAGGGACAACATACCATCGCTGCATTCGTAGACATCTCACAACCATTCGACAGAATGTGGCGTCCATTTCTCTATTTTAAATTAATTTCAATAGATACACCCAAATATCTAGTATTTGTTATTCTTCGCTATATAACAAATTAAACAAATTTCAGTATGAATTGATTGTCACTGCTCTAATCCAAGGAAAATTTCTGCTGGTGTTCCCGAAGATTCAC